ATTTCCTACATGCGGGCTGAAAAAAAACTTTATGAAGACAATGCCGAGACGAGATTTAGTTAACGGCATTTTGTATAATTCCCGTAGGAGTTATGATACAAGTCTGGCAAACAAATCGAGTCTGTTATGTTTTATAGTAGACACAACTCTTTCTAGGTTTCCAACACGAGGCATCAACACCACCATGGGCAAGGTAAGGCAGACGAGCTTTAATTTATACCCAACTCCCCCGTCCCACTCATCCATCTGCCGTATCCCACTCATCCATCTGCCCTGTCCCACTCATCCATTTACCCCGTCCCATTCGCTAGCACGAATACACAAACATTACCTGATGGACAGATACAAGTTTTATTAGCCCTTTCCTTCCCATACATCGATAATCGGATTACACTTCAAGAATGGCCGCACAGAGAATTTACCAAATCACGACCAGTCTTCAGCACCCTCTCAACCGTTTGATTGTGGGAGACTTAGAAGACCTATCCTGAAGCGACGTCTTGTTACTTGGTTCACTCTTGTTTGGAGGGAAATAATAGCTAATCAACAATCGAAAATTGGCCATCGGTTCTTATTTACGAGTGACAATTGTAAGGACAAGTGACTCCATATAAGAACATCCATGAACATCATTAAATGCTGACGAAGATCTAGTTTCTCAACATAATAATGGAGGAAACTGCAGCGAAGTGCAAAAAACAACTCGATAAAACTCCTCCTCCTGTAGTTTTAAGTTTCAACAAGTGTTAAGGCAGGACGAGGATGAGTCTAACATGACCCTCCTCAGGGCCCTCACACACAAGTCACCCCTTCGTGGACATAACAAAAGAGACCAGGGTTTCCTGCGGTGTTTGGGGAGGCGACAATACATGGTGTTGAATTTCCAAATATGAAAGAGGACCTCAGGTTAGGTTTCTATGGCCACAACCAATTCTCTCTCGGTTATCTTATCGAGAAATATTTTGTGGTGCTTGTGTGTGTGGGGGGGGTGTAGGGGGGGTGTAGGGCGGTGTGGGGGAGTGAAGGGCGGTGTGGGGGAGTGTAGGGCGGTGTGGGGGGAGGGTGTCATATTATGTGTGCTCCTCAGGGTAGATATTGAAAATAATGATGGATAATATTCAAGACTAAGGTGATGGAATGCGATGTTTAGTTCACTGACGATTTTAGAATTTAAATTACATTAAAAAAAAAATTTGAGTAGGCGTGTACGCGCGCGCACACTCGCACAGAGGAGTAATTAACGCCACTACAACAGGAAACTATCCCGACTGTCGCCTCCCCACACCACCCCACATCCCTCCACAACATTCACTCCTATAATTCACTTTCATTTCCTTCTCTCAACATCATATAATTACCCCCAGATACATAATTTACCTCGCTAAAACCACTACCGACTTGATCACAACATTGAAGGCGATTTACTGTCGTGGGGAAGTATTATCCACCGGAGTGCTACAGAGTGAGCTGTACACAACTCCTCAATCTTACTTACTGGCAAACAGCTCATCTTAATCCTTCTAGAGACCAAAACATCTAAAGCTTATTCCCCCCCCCCCAGACGAGGGTTTAATCTGTATAATCTCTCTCTCTCTCTGTCTCTCTCTCTCTCTGTGTGCCAAGTTTCAAAGCGGACCATAGTCCAATAACTAACTTCATTTCAAATTTAAGAGAAGGTAATTCCCTCTAATCCCAGCTCTGGGAGAGAGAGAGAGAGAGAGAGAGAGAGAGAGAGAGAGAGAGACTCGGCTCCCTAACCCCAATCAGAAGACAAGTGCAGGTTGGGACGGCCTGTTGATTCTCCTGCAGGAAGCTCTCGTCTGTCCACCCCTGAAGACGCGATACCAAGGACACCTGCCACCGTGGAATGCTCGACGCAACGAACGACAGGAAGGTGAAGAAGAAGTGAGGAATGCCCGAGTAAGTGGACAAGAAATACAAGAGGCTATGGACGTGAGGAGGGAAAAAAGGGAGAGAGAGAATAAAGGATTGGAGAGATAGAGAGAGAGAAATAGAAAATACACTGATATAATAGAGAAACACCCCTGAGAATCTCATAATCTGTCACCGTGGGGGGAAACTGCACAAGTGGACAGAATCCTCAAGACGTTGCCAAATTTTCCTAGCGAAACTTCAAAGACAAAGACGGCACCACAAAGGAATCTCCGGCCAACAGCTCCCGAGTGACTATGAGAACAATAGCACAGGTTATATTACTCCAAAACATGTGTCTATTGTTGTGACTCAGGTCTTGGATAATATGATATTCATGAATGTGTGTATTACCTATTACTGTATTCATCACAAGAGCTGAACAAGTCATTCTTAAGACGTTCTTCTTGACATAGTCCTCCAGGTATGTCTATTGTGATACTCGAGTCAATTATTCAAAGTTGACCTTCTCCGTTGGTGTTGATCCATTAAAAAACTTAAGTCATATAAAGGTCAAGGCGAGATGAACATGTCGACATTATCTACCAAGAAGAGTGAAAGTTGTGGCTACAGCCTTCTAAAAAAACATAAGTGATGAGCATTATTAACCAGTCAACACAAGAGAGAGTAAGATTGAGTGTGTGTGTGTGTGTGTGTGTGTGTGACGGAAACCAACAAATATCTGGTGTTTACAGTGAAGGTGACCAGGCATAGTTGAGGGGAGTTAGAGTAAGTGCCAGGTTCAGCACAAGTCAGACTGGATGTCGTCTGGTTTGTGACATCAAGCAGACCTCTTAAACAGCCTGTATGAAGGAGCAACACCAAGCTACAATGACTATGACGAGACGCTGGATGCTTATGAGACCGACAGGGATGAGTGTGTCGTCATTTGGGTAACTGGGAGGGAGAGGAAAGGAAGACAAAAGGATGGAGAAGAAAGGGGGGAAGGAAGGAGAGGAATGGAGAGGGAGAGAAGAGATAATACTACGAGAACCTTAAACCATGACCGCATGTTACCCAATGAGGTATAAATGCCTCAGATGACGTTCCCTCTTCCCTATCAACATCAACACCCCCCCCCCCACTGTCATCTGAAGCCCTGGCCTTGCCTTTCCATTCCCTCCCCTGCCCCCCACCCCTCCCTCACTACTACCACCACTACTACGTTCTTTGGCCTCCAACCTACAGCACTTGCACTACCGTGACCCCGACCTCCTCCTCCTCCAACAACAGCCTCCACGACCTCCAGTTCCCACATTCTTGGGGCCCCTCAGCCATGGCCACGGTCGGCACGCAGCCCCCCACTCCTCCTACCTCCCTCCACTACACCCTCCATCCTTACCTCCATAACTCCTGGGCTACGCCTCTACGACGACCATGCATCCACTACAACACAGCAATTACCGCACGACCTCCCAACTCTTGAGGCTCGGGTCATAACCTCTGACCGCATAGTTGCAACGACCAAAACCACACAGGCTTTTACGCCCTTAACTCATGAGACATAAAGGCAAGCATGAACTTAGCATGCTTCCCTGTTGGGCACTGTAAACGCTTCTGCGCTTCACCTTACACAAGGATGTAGGGGGGTGCCCAATAAAAAAAAAAAACCCACATCTTGCAACCACCATCCCGAGAGAGAGAGAGAGAGAGAGAGAGAGAGAGAGAGAGACACACACTACATAAAGACCCCAAACTGCATTCTTGTCTCGACCTTGAGCCGTCCTCCTCCCCGTCACCACAACACAACACACGCAGCGGAGGTCTTATCCACACACCAGAGAGAACAACACCTTGACGACGACGGGGCCAGGGAGGAAATACCTTGTTCCCTTCAGGAGAAATGAGACATCACCCACTGCGATTTTCCCGTCCCGCCTCGTTTGGCTTCTTGCGGTAGTAACAGTCACAACACTAATAACCACCTGCGGTAACCTACCCTTAACTGCTCTAACAGATGTCTAATGGTGTCGAGGAAGGAAATAACAGTCACCCTCTAATAATTCGCTACATGGCACTATCCAAACCAATTCTTTCTCTATCCCCTTTCTATGGCTATTAACATCCCTACCACCCCTTCCCCTGTCTATTCCGGACTCACCTAGACAACAAGAACGAGGAGCCACCCATCACTACTTCCGCGTGTCTCTGGTGGTGACGGAGGCTGGATCGACAGTACTACGACGCGATGTTGACCTTGTGGGGTCTCTAACCCTCCGTCTCCCGGATCTTGGCCAACTCCTTCACCCAGCAGAGCGAGAGGGAAGGGAGGATGTCAACAACCCGTCTTGTCATAAGGCACCGACCGACACCTACGATAATACGCATCACCGCCAGCCTGCATGAAGGACGCTCGCTGTCTACACTACACTAAGTAATGCTGGCGTGTGTCTAATCTTAATTTTCTTCGTTGATAGTATATACCTGTGTACACTATTATTATTATTATTATTATTTATTATTATTATTCTGTCGTTGTTTTCAACAGTGTTATGATTTTCATCAATATCCATGTTAATGATATAATTTCTACCATTTATTATTGTCATTAATATTATAGCACTATAAACATTACCTTCTTGTTATTACTGCATCACCATTGTTTTCTTGACCTCATAATACATCCCTGCGACCTCAACAGAGCCCGTCTGACAACAGCAGCAGCCTAAGACGCTCACCACCCTCAAGGAATGACAGTTGGCATACCGGAAACGCTCACCATCAGGTAAACCGTGAAATTATATCCAACCTTCACTACGTACAGTAACTTACAACACAACGTTAAAATAATGACATCTTACCCAACCGAACTCTTATATACAAATTACCTAGAGTTATTACTTAAGGGAATTATAGTTGTTGAAGCACAGTAATACGGTGGAACATCAAGCCGAGACAACCCCTGCCCCCCCCCTCCCCCGATGTAAAAACAAACAAGTAAAACATATATTACCCCTATAACGAGGAAAATATTTAATTACCTCTTAAGCAACCACAACGTAGTGCTACTCCTATGGCAAAAAATATGTATCGTCTTATTCATCCTACAAAAACAATTATAATCTTACCATGAAGATAGACTCCTTCCCAAACTGTACCTGTAACATAAGAAAATCATTAGAATCTCAGTCATATATAATGATCACAAAACAAAGTAAAAAAAAAATGAACAAAACTTAATAATGTATGAAGGAACGAAATAAAGGTTAATAAACTATAAAAAATATACAGTAAGAACTCCATCATAGAAAACACGTATATTCCTCGTTTTCTTTATACAATAACAATTAAGGTGAACTAAAATATATTTTCGCATCTCGGGTTTATATGACACCAATGCTCGTTTTTACAATATGTTTATGAGTATTAATGAGAACACTTGGTTCATGAAACTAATTTTGTTTCCTTAGAACATATTTAACTGCCAATACACATTAGTTATGTCAATTATTTCATTATTTTGAACACACTCGTTCCGGAAATGATGGAGTTAGGATTTAAAGAGGACAGCATAATGTAGAACGCCAGAAAAGTAAGTAAATTAACCCAATCCCCCACCACACACACACACACACACACACACACACACAATAAAACAGGTACACATTCAGGTATGTGCGCCACGTACCACACAGAACGGTGAGTGCTTTTTCAATTTTTCTCCTAAATGAAAAAGACAGCAACAAAAGCCGGAGAGTTGTTCACACTGACGCACGAGTCAAACCTTTACGAGTTAGCCACCAGCGTCTGCTACATGGGTCTGGCGTCACGTATTCCCACACTACTACAAATAGAAAATTCTTTCCTGAATGTAGCCGATGACTTGGTTGGTGATATTTATATTACAAGGCAAAACTTGACGACTCAACGAAGAGAAGTTTTGCGCCATAAACAGTTCTCCAGAATCCATGGTGTTGTGACACGATGACTGCGGTAATGCTAACACGGTAATACCTTCATTATATAAACACCTGAAGGCAGCTAATTATCTGCTATATAAACACCTGAATTAGATACCACGAGCTCCATTAAATAAACACCTGTACTTGAGCACCACCTTGACGGTAAGGGAACAGGCGGTTGGAGAAAACACTTTAAGTAAACAAAAACGAACTCGCTATAGGTGGTGGTGGGGACACCCTCTACCCCAGCATCACCACCTGCCAAGGCTCCTACATCCTCCTGTAAGAAACTACACTGCACTCGAGGAAGGTGCCAAGTCAACACTTGTATCACATAGTTTTTCTTATTTTCTTAAAGCTGTGACCTTGACCTTTGACAAAATATACACACACAGTTGATGACAGATCCAGGCGGCATTGACCCCCTAATCACGTGATCAAATTTATTTCACGTTTATTATAATTATCAACTCAAGCCAAAGTGAATTTATATATATACCGTACCGTGCTTCTGTTGCAACCCCCAGATTGGATGATGATTTAGTTATATATAAAGAACGGAGTGTGAGTGGTGGGGGAGGAGAGGTTGATGCCTTTCCTCGAGATGCCCCTCAGTAGCGGGTGGTGCTAGAGATACTTCCTGTGTATTTACCGGTGGCTCTTTCTGTACGGGTGGGCGGGCGAGCGGGCGTGAAGGCGGGCGTGGGTGAGTCTTTTGTCTTGTTGTGTGTGTTTAACGTATACTTCCGTCGTGAATGAAGGAAGGTGCAGGGGGGAAGGGGGTCCGCTGAGCTGTGGCGTCGCGGAAGTTTTGCATTATCACCCCTCCCCGGCCACCACAAGCGTGTCTGACAGCATATTAAGCCATCACACACACCTTCATCACCACCAATACTACTTTACTACAACCTTGTCACAAAAGTATCTATCTCGGCAATCCGCGAAAAAATTACTAACAACAATATCACAGTCAGCCATACACTGCCGTTTTCTCTGGATCAGCACGCCATGCACGGTGTACATCCATAAAAAACGAAGAATTTTCCTTCCTGCCACAGTAAGCTAGGGAGGGTGGTGAATGGTGGGAGCGTGAGGCTAGTGCCTGGGGTAGTGTGGGAGGTGGAGGCTAGTAATACCTGGGTGTTGGACAGATTTGCAAGGGCCGGGAGCCACCCCACACCCACACAATTATCGCCCACTGCCCCGCCACGTCCACCCTCACATTATTACTCCTCGCCAACTGCAGCAGCTCAAGGGGGGCGCTGGGTAAGGGGGGGGAGGGGGCCTAATATCCACCTCGTCTAGACTGGGTCGTAGCTACTGGGTACTTTGCCATACTACAAATACCAGGCTAACTTATGTGATATTATATGCTTACAAAATAATTAAGAATACACAATCAAAAGAGTGTGTGTGTGTGTGTGTGTGTGTGTGTGTGTGTGTGTGTGTGTGTCTCATGTAAATTTTTAATCTTATCATACAGTCCACAATACCCGCAGGAGACGTACCCATCAGACTTTTGAGCAACAAGTTAAATATCACCACCAGCGACCACCCACAGCACACAACCTTCCCCCAGGGCGAATGGATACGAACCCTGACCTGCCACGATGATCGCCAACACCCACTCATTATATCTCCCGTATCATTGAAAATGACCACAACACCAATACAGGTTCGAGGTTTCCAGGCATCGCACACTCATAACAGCTACTTACGGGTCGTCGTCCTCAGCAAGAAAGCGTAAAATAATTGACAAATGTTACGGTCATCTCCCCTTTTTCCTCAATATTTGTTTGTTACCCATTTTATTTAGTTTCTATTGTGGCCCGTTTTCTTTAGATCGAATTCCAAGCTCATAGTAAAGGCTTGTAAAAATGTCGTGATTATTGTATATTAATATGTATATTAGTATTTGTTTCATTATGCAAACTTTACAGAATGCATCGTTATTTTTTGTACAGTTATGAGAGGCTGTAAGAAGCAGTTGTAAAGTAAAAAGGAATTAAAGATTATGTGTTGATGAAGCAAGAAAGTGTTGGAACAGTTTCTGTTTTAGTTCTCTCTCTCGGGTTTGAGGAGACAGAAGGGACAAGCTTGTTTAGTATACATTTATCTTTTGTTATCTGGGCAATCACGGATAATTTTGGTGTTAACTAAGGTGCAATATGTTCATTATGGCTGAAAGAGTAATGTAATAGTGAGAGCATTATATTTGGTGGCGATAACATTATTTTAAGTGGATTAATTTGTGGCCTTTTGTGTGTATATGGATGGAGAGCACATGTTTATTTTGATTTATTGTTAAACAGATTTTTTATTTTTAGAGCGGTTTTGATTAAACCAGTTTTAAGGGAACAGTGATATTAAAATAAACACCTATCAGGAGATTGTTAGCCATAAATAAGGTAAGGGACTGTGTTTAACACTTAATCTCTGTTAACAGATGCTGTTATTTCAGTCTGCCTTGATCTGGTGGGCCTATGGACTGACTGTCCATCCTGAATGAGATTTTAGAAGGTGTGAGGTGTAACACAAACAAAATTATTAGCATACAATTCGTCAATACAAATCACAAACGAATCAAAAACTCAAACTTAAATATAACGACTTTTTTCGGGGTTATATTTACGTTGTTGGAACTCCTAACGACGGCTTATTGTTGTTTAAGGGAAACTAACAACTTATGATAACTAACTAACACGGACTATAACTATGGCTATCTAAATCTTGATATATTCTATACATTTTTTTTTATATCCTGACCTAATGTTATCTATTACGGAATCCAACCTTTTATTTTACAACCAAACTACAAATATTTTCAACTACAGTGATATATCAATTACAATATGAAAATACTGTGATGGCAAATTATTACAATTCACACTTAACCATTTCAATACCAATCTTTTAAACGACACCCAAAAGAGTTCTCACAAGCGGGAGACACAAGCAATCACGAAGCTGAAGGGCGTATTGGGACAGTCACAGACCCCGGCCGTTCATCTTCATTCCTCAACCAATTTCCTCTCTCCTGTCTAAGATCCATTAAGGCATGGTGTTATACGAGGCTGTACCGTCCCTTCCATAACACTCCATCTTACTTCACACTGAGTTCTTGACTGTTGACGGAGGGAGAGTGATGGTCGCTGTTTACTGTAGGTTGGTGGCGGCGCGGAAGGGTTAATTATTAAGTGATAAATACTATGGGACTATCATAACGGTTTATATATAAGAAAATATAGTTGATATTTGTATGTAGAAGAAATACTGACAGTGGTACAGAAGACGGCAGTGAGAAATGTTGCAAGCACTGTATACGTCAAGTCTGAAGCGTCATTCTCCAGTACAAAGACCCAAGTGGCAGAGAATGCAACATCCTTCTCAAGCAATAAGTTAGACGGGCTGGAAGCAGAGGCGTCAAAAACTTAAAAAAAAAAAAAGTGTTGAAGACTTTCCTCGAGGACTATAGGAGGCGGCCTAGAAGTAGCTGCGCGAGGACTACAGAAGAAGGTCTAGAAGTAGCTGCGCGAGGACTACAGAAGAAGGTCTAGAAGTAGCTGCGCGAGGACTACAGAAGAAGGTCTAGAAGTAGCTGCGCGAGGACTACAGAAGAAGGTCTAGAAGTAGCTACTCGGGGACCACAGAAGGAGGTCTAGAAGTAGCTGCTCGGGGACTACAGAAGGAGGTCTAGAAGTAGCTGCTCGGGGACTACAGAAGGAGGTCTAGAAGTAGCTGCTCGAGGACAACGGAAAGAGGCCTTGAAGTAGCTGCTCGAGGACTACAGGAGGAGGCCTAAAAATAGCTGCTCGAGGACTACAGAAGGTGGTCTAGAAGTAGCTGCTCGAGGACTACAGGAGGAGGCCCAGAAGTAGCTGCTCGAGGACTAGAGAAGGAGGTCTAGAAGCTGCTCAGAAGGACTAAGAAGGAGGTCTAGAAGTAGCTGTTCGGGGACTACAGAAGGAGGTCTAGAAGTAGCTGCTCGGGGACTACAGAAGGAGGTCTAGAAGTAGCTGCTCGAGGACAACAGAAGGAGGCCTAAGTAGCTGCTCGAGGACTACAGGAGGAGGAAAGAAGCTGCTCGAGGACTACAGAAGGAGGTCTAGAAGTAGCTGCTCGAGGACTACAGGAGGAGGCCCAGAAGTAGCTGCTCGAGGACTACAGTAGGAGGTCTAGAAGTAGCTGCTCGAGGA